ACAGGGGATCTCCCGGGATACCGTCTCGTAGTCCCAAACATAAATGTGCAGGGGGATCTCCCAAAATACCGTTCTGTAGTCCCAAAGTAAATATGCAGGGGGATATCCCGGAATACCATTCCGTATTCCCAAACTAAATATGCAGCACAACCAACAGAAACAACAGTTACAGCACAGCAGAAAACTCGTACTTCACCACAGTACGTATAACAACAACAATGACAACAATACAAGGTATGGCAAGTAAATCAACTCAAGAACTGTAAATCACAAAGAAACGGTAGAACCAGCTCACAAGGAATAACCACAGAAAAGAATGTTGGCATAAAGGGGACAGTTCAACATAGGGAAAACTAATATGTAGCAACGATCCCACAATATACAAGTCAATAACAAGGAAATCAACATGAGTCCAGTAGTCCCAAATAAAGGCAAGTCAACAAAGATATAGGTTATCTAAACTCCTTTTAAGGTTGGAAAGTTACGAGGATATTCGACAATTCAATTAAGGAAAGATGATCTTAGCTTCACTTAAGACTAAACAATCTCAGGAGGGATAATAATAATTTTCAAATAAGACAAGCAGCTATGAAAAGATAGCATGACAACATGAGAGGCGAAAGTCTTCAGTTAAATCAAATAGGAGTCAATTAGGCAATAAGAGTGAATCATGAAGCAATTAATTCCAATTAAGCATGCAGAAGCGAAACTAGTAAATAGGAAACTCAGTCATATGAAGAATAACTTCATACATAGTGAATATAAGGACCTAAGAACCCTAAAAGGCCGATTTCCCACAAATAAGTCCGAGTACGCACTCGTCACCTCGCGTACACGAACTACAATCAACATAGAAGACTCAAATCCTAAGGGGAAGTCCCCCACACGAGGTTAGGCAAGATACTTACCTCAATCCAGCCAATTCAATACTCAATTTAGCTTTTCCTTTACCAATTCATCAACGCTCGGCTTAATCTAACCAAAAATGACTTGAATACATCAAACAATGCAAGAGAAAACAATTTCAATTGACAAAACTATGATTCTTATACAATTTGCAAAAAGTCAACAAAAGTTAACTTCCCGGGCTCGCACCTCGGAACCCGACAAAATTTATAAAAACCGAACACCCATATACCCACGAACCCAAATATGCAATTGGTTTTGAAATCCGACCTCAAATCGAGGTCTAAATCCCCATAATTTGAAAATCCTAATCTCTACCCAAAAATCCCAATCTTTACCATGAAAACTCTAGATTTTTGGTTATAATCTTGTTAAAAGTTGTTAAGGAATGAAAGGAATTAGTTAGAGATCACTTGCCAATGATTTGGAGAAGATTGGGTCTTTGGAAAATCGCCTATGGAGCTTTAGGGTTTGAGAAAGTTGAAAAATGGGTGAAAATCCCGTCAAAAATCTCACTTAACAGGCCTCAGATGTCGCATTTGCGACCTAGGGTTCGCAATTGTGAACCCTCGCAATTTGCGAACAAGGCAGGGCTGGCAAAAGTCGCATTTGCGACAAAGAGTTCGCATTTGCGAACAGGCCACCGTAATTGCGATGAAAAAGTTCGCATTTGCGACCACACCAGAAACCAACAATTTTTCCCGACACGAAAATGATCATAACTTCCTCATACGATGTCCAAATTCGATGATTCTTTTTCCTATGGCTCCGTAATTTTGATACGGATCTAATGGATCAATAAAAACTGAATTGGATCTCATTTGCTCAATATGGTATCATTTTTGCTTGAAGAAACGACGATGAAGCATCCAAAAACAGGCGCAACATAGCCTAAACCTATCCGAAACTCACCCAAGCCCTCGGGGCTCCAACCAAACTTGCATGAAAGTCTAAAAATATCATGCGGACTTGCTCGTGCGATCAAATCATCAAAATAACATTAAAAACTATGAATTTAACCTCAAAACTCATGATTTTCTAACTTTTCAACCGGACGTCCAAATCACGTCAAATCAATTCTGATTCTCACCAAATTCCACAGATAGGACTTAAATATCATAAAAAACTTGTACCGGGCTTCGGAACCAAAATACGGGCCCGATGCCAATGAGTTCAAACATTAATTCATTTCTTTATTTCCTTTAAAAACCAGCACAACAATTTTGTTCAAAAATTGTTTTCTACGGCTAGGGACCTCGGAATTCAAATTCCGAGCATACACCCAAGTCCCATATTTTACAGCGGACCTCCCGGGATCGTCGGAACACAGATCCGGGTCCGTTTACCAAAAATATTGACCAAAGTCAACTAAAAACCAGGTTTTAACTCTAGAAATTACTATTTTTTTCTTCTTATTTTCACATAAAAGCTTTCCGGTTTCACGCCTGGACTTCGCACGCAAGTCGGTACACATAATATGAAGCTGCTCATGACCTCAAACTGCCGAACCAGACGCAATTGCTCAAAACGACCAGTTGGGTCGTTACACGTTGTATATTCGGACGATGGAGTTGGGATCGGTTATGGTGATTCGCATGTTGTATGGATTTGGAGACTGGAGTTCTCATAAACAGGTTAGGTCGTGGTTGTAGACCGCGTATATCGGTCTTTTGTGGTAACTATAGGAGGTTTGGAGACCAGAGTGGATCTTTGTTGCTTAGTATGCTAGATTTTGGTGTGATTTGGGTATGGACTGGTTTTCTCCATGTCGTGTTATTCTGGGCTATTGCGCTCGGACGGTGACGTTGGCTATGCCGGGAACGCCACAGATTGAGTGGTGAGGTTCGACGGATTATGTTCCCAGTAGGGTGGTTTCATTTTTGAAGACCCAGCGGATGGTTGGGAAGGGTTGTCTTTCTTATTTGGCCTTCATGATGGATGTCAGTGCAGAGACTCCTACCATTGATTCAGTTCCGGTGGTAAGGGATTTTCTGGATGTGTTTCCTACTGCCGGGCATGTCGCCGGACAGGGTTGTTGATTTCGGTATTGATTTGGTGTCGGGCACCATATCGTATGGCACCGGCAGAGTTAAAGGAGTTGAAGGAGCAGCTTCAGGAACTCCTTGATAATGGGTTCATTGGTAGGCCAATAGGGATGTGTGTTCTACATCGAGTCGGCTTGGTTGACTCCGAGTTATATTGTTTAGGGATGTTTTGATTCGATTGTTATTGAGCTTATTAGTGATCAGGGGAGATCTATGAGTGACCTTTCCGTGTTGCGAGGCATTAGGATTTGTTAGTTATAGGCACATGTGGTGCGGTTTTATTGGGGTCTCTCAGTGGAATTCGAGCGGGAAGAGTATTGGGTATTGCTCGGCGGATAGCATATCGGTTGTGTCCTTTCGGGTTTGTGTAATGTTATGTCAATTGCTTCGCCGTGGTTATGATGATTTGCTTTGGTTCTAGACATCAAATTGCGCATGGTTGTCGATTTTGAGCATAGTGACTGGAGGTGTCTCATGTGCGCCAATATTTGGATAGGGTCGCGCATTGCAGCGAAGTTATGTGGAGATATGACCTTTCGGGTTGGATTCGCGTGTTCTGTTTCTACGAGGTGTGACGGGTTCTTATTATTTGGTGCGGTGGTACCGGTGAGCTTGTAGTATAGCTCTCTCATTTGAGTCATTTTCATGATTTGAGTGCGTTCGGATTGTTGCTTATTGGTGTGCGGATTGTACGAGTTGTGGCTTTAGATTGTATTGATGTGTCATGTCACCAGATTAGTTGTGTTGGATTAGATGAGATCGTCGGGATCTAGAATGAATACAAACGGATTCGGTTTCAGCGTGTTGGAAGGATAATATCGATGTTCGGCTCAGAAATTTGCTATGGTCCTTGCTAAAGGAGAAGTGGCTTCACGAATGGTTGATCTGAGGAGTGGTTATGACTTCCTATGTGTTTCATTTATCATTGACAGTATACGGAAGTGTTGGAATGAGGCTTTATTTGATAAGAGGCTTATTATCGATATTCGGTTTTTTTGAACAGCTGCTATGATTAGAAGTTATCGCTACGAGTGTTTGAGTTATGGGGTATATCATGTAATTGCATCTGAAGTTGCAGATATGGTTTGTTACAGCTTGTTCGGGCTTATTCAAAGTATAGATGTGAGATTCTGATTTTGTGGATGATTTTAGAAGTGGGAATGTGGTTCTAAGGTTTATGCGCTAGGTTGATTGCGAAATTTCAGTTACATTGTGTTGTCGGACCTATATGAGATAGGGTGACGTGGGATCACCCCGGGGTATCTGCATGGTAAGGATATACAGCGACTTGTTGGCTTTTGGAACAACTATGGGCACGTTCGAGGACGAACGTATGTTTAAGTGGGGGAGGATGTAACGACCCGACCGGTCGTTATGAGCCTTTACACTTCGCTCACCAGTTCTCGGGCATGACTAACCCGTGTGATGTATTATGACTTATGTAAATCGTCGGTTTTGCTTTTCAGGGTAATCGAAATGAATTTGGAAGAGCAGTTCTCAGTTTGAAGCTTAAAATTTGAAAGGTTTGACCAAGTTTTGACTTGTTAGCATATGATCTCGGATTGGAATTTATATGATTTGATTAGCTCCGTTAGGTGATTTGGGACTTAGGGGCATGATCGGAATGTATTTTAGAGGTCCGTGGAAGGTTTAGGCTTGAATTGGCGAAATTGAAATTTTGGCGTCTTCCGGTTGATAGGTGAGATTTTGATATAGGGGTCGGAATGGAATCCGGAGGTTGCAGTAGGTCCGTTGTGTCATTTGGGATGTGTGTGCAAAATTTCAGGTCATTCGGATGTGGTTTGATAGACTTTTTGATCGAAAGCGGAATTTGGGAGTTTTTGAAATTCTTAGGCTTGAATCTGATGCAAATTTGGTGTTTTGATGTTGTTTTGAGCATTCCGAAGGTTGGAACAAGTTCGAATAATGTTAAGGGATATGTTGGCATGATTGGTTGAGGTCCCGAGGGCCTCGGGTGAGTTTCGGGTGGTTAAACGGATCAAATTGCATGTTGAAAAGTTGCAGATTTTAGCTTCAGTTCTATTGCAGGTTTTTCTTCTTCGCGGTCGCGTGATGAGGCTCGCGATCGCGTAAAAGCTTTTGTAGGGGCAGTCCAGATTGTTCTTCGCGTTCGCGAAGTTGGAGGTGCGATCGTGTGAGGCTGTGAGGTTATTGTTCGCGAACGCGTTTGGAAGGTCGCGTTCGCGTAAGGCTATGTGGACCAGATGTTGACCGCGAGTTCGTGCATCGCGAATGCGGTCCCTTGTTCGCGATCGCGTAGGAGTAGCATGTCTGAGCATCGCGTTCGAGTGGTAGATGACGCGTTGGCGTAGAGTAAATTTGGGGTCTGGGAAGCTTGTGCTTCGTGATAGCGATGGAGGTCCCGCGATCGCGATTAAGAGATTTTAAGTGCTGGGCAGAATGTTTTAAAAGGCCATTTTCGCGACTTTTTCGCATAAGTTCACCATTTTTGACCCGGTTTTGGAGTTTGTTGAGGGAGATTGAAGAGGGAATCAAAGAGAACTTCTTGGAGGTAAGAATTTTGGACTTAGTACTCGATCCTATGTTGATTCTTACTTGTTTAAACATGATATATGTGGAATTTAAAGCCTAAAATTGGGGAATTGGGCTTGAATTTTGAGAGTGTAAATTGAGGATTTGAGGGGCCATTTGAGGTCCGATTTTAATGTTCTTGGTAGGTAAGAACTCGTGTGAGTGTAAGGATTCTATTGGTGTGATTTTTATCGGATTCTGAGACGTGGGCCCGGGGGCGGGTTTGGCCAATTTCGGGATTTTTGGTATAAATTAGATATTTTCGAGTGGGCTTTGTTCCCTTAGCATATTTTGATGGTATAAATCTGTATTTGGTTAGATTTGGAGCGTTTGGAGACCGATTAGAGAGGCTAAGGCATCGCGGGCTAGAATTTGAACCGGATTGAGGTAAGTAATGATTGTAAATACTGTTCTGAGGGTATGAAACCCCGGATTTCACATTGTTGTGCTACTTTGAGGTGATGCACACGCTAGATGACGAGCATGGGGTCGTGCACCGTTGGGATTGTGACTTGGTCCATCCCGTACGACTATTAAGCCGCGTATTTTACTTGAAAACTATTTGATATTGTTGTATTTGGGAAAATATTATTGTGTTTGGGGATAAATGTCGTGTCTGGTCCTTGTGCCGATTTTTTGGACCCTTCGGGGCTTTTACTTCTGCTTTTCCTCACTGTTTTGGTTTAATGTTTACAGTCAGTCATGCTATATTTTTACTGTTTTCATAACTCGGTTTTATTCACTCCTTTTGATTTCATAAATGATTTTTAGTCGAGTACTTGTTTTATTGTCAGCCCGAGGGGCTTGAGTGAGATCTGAGTGAGTGAGGCCGAGGGCCTGTGTTGTGAGGATATCATGGGATCGGGCTGCGCGCCGCAGCATGTGGTACTGATTTGTGATATATGAGAGGCCGAGGGCATGATTTATTATTCCACGAGGTGGCTTGTGATTAATATGAGGCCGAGAGCCTGTTTGATTATGCCACGAGATGGCTTTTTATTGCGCTTGGGCCGTAAGGGGCCCTTCCCGAGTCTGTACACCCAGAGTGAGCGCGGGTACCCAGTGTGTGTGATGTGTTGTAGCCGGAGGGGCTGTTGTTGTTTCATGTTGAAGCCCGAGGGGCTGTTCTTGATCTATGTGGCCCGAGGGGAGGTTCTTGGTTCATGTTTTGCCCGAGGGGCTGATTTCGAGTGATTGTGAGGTAGCCCGAGGGGCTGGTTCTGTTGATATTATGCCCGAGGGGCGGTTTATGGTACATGTTTTGCCCGTGGGGCTGTTTACGTCTCTATCATTTTTACTCACTATTTTATCACTCGTTTGAAACAATTGAAAGTTGTTTTTAAAAGGTTTTACTGCAACTGAGCTTGATTTACGAAGTAAAAAAATTTTGTACTGTTTTGGAAAATGTGCTGCATTTGCTGTAGTGTTATGACGTGGCTTACGTGTTTTCTTACTGCTCAGCTTTCATTTACTTTTATTACTTACTGAGTAGGCGTACTCACATTACTCCCTGCACCTTGTGTGCAGATTCAGGTAGTATTGAACCCGGTAGCGGGTGTTGATTGCTCAGTGGCAGAGTCATTGGAGTTAGCAAGGTAGCTGCCCAACGTTCGCAGCACTGCTTTTCTCCCTCTTGTCTTCCTTAGACTGTATTTAGTACATTTTAGATTCTTAGTTGTGTTCAGACCTTAGTAGATGCTCGTGACTTGTACCACCCCGATGTCGGGCTTGTGTATTTATTCCACACGGTTCATTTAGACTTACCTTATGAGATATTTGATTAGTTAAAGGCTTAAAAATGATTGCTATTAATTAAATGGTTAATTCGGGAGTTGTGTCGGCTGGCCTAGTTTCACGGTAGGCACCATCACGACCGGATCGGTTTTAGGGTCGTGACACTAATATTAGGAGGTGTAGTTTCAAAAAAGAGAATAAGAAAATAAATAATAAATAAAAAATAAGCAATTACATGGAATCACAAGAAGTAAAGATAGAGAAACAAAAGATAAATAATGTACAAAGAAAAATGTATTTTGAAATTTCAAAAGAAATTAAAAAATAAAAATGAAATTAAAAAATGAAAATAATAGAAATAAAAAGTTTTAAAGAAAATAAATTAAAATAAAAACAAAAAGAAAAGAAACTAAAAGGCAACCTTGTAATTACACAGTGTAATTACCACCAATCTCACCTCCCCCTTGAGAATTGGAGAGTGTAATTACACCCCTCCAATTACACCCAATTCCATGTTGTCCAAGTCATTACTTGGCCAAACAAACATGTCAAATTGTGTAATTACACCCAATCATACCCAAATCCATTTCCAAGGTGGCTTTTCAAACGGGTTCTTAGTCTTTTGGGAATGAAAATGCTGTCTTATAAGTCATAAAAATTTGATAACTGACAATGTAAAGTTTATAAATGAATAATGTTGAACATTTATAGTTTAACTTATAGAAACAATGTAGAATGTTATCATTTGTTGGAATAATTAGAGAAAAACTTAATGTCGTTTCGTTTGCAATTGAGTTTGTCTAAAATTGGATATGTTTTCTATTAAAATTAAGACATAAATAAATGAAGATATTTTATTGGTCAACGAAGCAAATTGCAAATGTTTAAAACTTAAGTCTATATTCTCCAAAAAAGGAAATATTTTTTTGAGTCATAGTATGCGTGAGTCCTATATATTAGGACTAATTACATATAATTTCAAATAAGGAAAGATATAATATGTACAATTTTAATTGATTTTAAATTCCTAAATTTTGAAAAAATAATTAAATGACTATTTTTTCTAGTGTGAAATTTATTTGTAAGGGGTAAAAAAAGCGAACTATATTTCGCTAAGGGCCTTCGTACTTTTAATATAATATAGATATAGATATAAATATAGATAGATAGATATTATTATGTGCACCATTCGTGAGGAAGAGGAATTTAGCAGCCTACACGACGATATGTTGATGAAAAGGAAGGTTGAGGTACTGCTAAAAAACAAGTTTCTATTTCGTTAATTAAGAGGCTCCAACGAACAATCGGGAGGAGAATTTTAGTGGGAAAGGAATAGCAATTATCATGGCAGAATCAGTGCTAAACTTTGAGGAGGCTTCCTTAATAACAGGGCCAAAATTGTGTGTTGAATATTGAAGTTTTGATGATTAACTAAGTATGACTAAATATTCAAAGAACCAGACTCTCAATGTAGCTGCTTAACTGTTCTGAAGAACCTGCTCCTCAGGAGAAAGAATCAGCTCCTCTTGAGTGATACATGTACAACTATACAAGACAGTAACTTTATCTCAAAGTTACCCGGGTCCGAGTTTGGTGGTCGATGGCTACTATTAGGGTTGTACATGGACCGGATTGGTTCGGTTTTTATCAAAACCAAACCAAATGTGATGACCCAAAAGGTCAGTTCTTGTTTTAACAGTCAAATCTGTGTTCCAAGACCTTAAAAACATCCTTTTGTCTCACCTCAATTTACGTGCGCAGTCTGGGCGTATATCCGGAAAGTCTTTATTTGAAAACTTGAGAAAAATGCTAATTTTGCCTTTAAAATTGAATTTAAGTTGACTTCGGTCAACATTTTGGGTAAACGGATCTGAACCCGTAATTTGACGGTCCCGGAAGATCCGTAGAAAAATACGGGACTTGGGCGTATGCCCGGAATTGAATTCTGAGGTCCCTAGCCCGAGAAAAGAATTTTTAAAGAAAATTGTTTGCTGGAAAATATATAGACTTTTGGAAATGAAATGGTGTGTGTTCTTGATGGTATCGGGCCCGTATTTTGGTTCCGGAGCCCGGTACAGGTTTAAAATAATGTTTAAGTCGAATCTGTGAAATTTGGTAAGAATCGGAGTTGATTTGATATAAATCGGACCCTCGATTGTGAAAATAGTAACTTTAGGTGTTCTTGAGAAATTCATTAATTTTGATGCTAAATTCGTAGTTGTTGATGGTATTTTGATGATTTGATCGCACGAGCAAGTCCGTATGATATTTTTGCACTTGCGTACATGTTTGGTTTGGAGCTTCCAGGGCTCGAGTGAGTTTTGGAACTCACCCGAGCCCCCAGGGATCCAAACCAAACACCCGCACAAGTCTAAAAACATAATACGAACTTGCTTAAGGCTTCAAATCGCATCAAACAACGCTAGAATCACGAATCACACCCCAAATCAAACTTGATAAACTGTAAAATTTCAAACTTCTACTTTCGATGCTTAAACCTATCAAATCACGTCCGATTGACCTCAAATTTTGCACACAAGTAATATTCGACATTACAGGCCTACTCCAACTTCCGAAATCGGAATCTGACCCCGATATCAAAAAGTCCACTTCCGGTCAAACTTCTCAAAAACCTTCAAATTTCTCACTTTAGCCAAGTGACTCCAAAATGACCTACGGACCTCCAAATCCACTTCCAATCGCGCTCCCAACACCAGAATCACCATATGGAGCTATTCCTAGAATTGGAATCTCAACGGACGTCGATAACATTGAAATGCACTTCAACCCAAACTTATGGAAATTCTTCCAAAATGCTAACTTCCACAATAGGTGCCGAAACGTTCCCAGATCTTCCAAAACCCGATCCGGA